GTCTCTTCTTAAAAATTCCAGTGTTGGAGCATTCACCACTTCTGGAGGCAAGTTGTTCCACTGCTTAATTGTTCTAACTGTCAGGAAGTTTCTCCTTAGTTCTAGGTTGCTTCTCTCCTTGATTAGTTTCCACCCATTGCTTCTTGTCCTGCCTTCAGGCGCCTTGGAAAATAGCTTGACTCCCTGTTCTTTGTGGCAGCCCCTGAGATATTGGAACATTGCTATCATGTCCCCCCTCGTCCTTCTCTTCATTAAACTAGACATACCCAATTCCAGCAGCCTTTCCTTATATGCTTTAGCCTCCAGTCCCCTAATCATCTTTGTTGCTCTTCTCTGTACTCTTTCTAGAGTCTCAACTTCTTTTTTACATCGTGGTGACCAAAAATTTAAAATGAATGACTGAGCTATAAGAATTATCAAGTTTTATTTCTGAGAAAGAGGTGGCAATGGATTTAACATGATGATTAGAATTTTAGCATACAAAGAGAGAGAACCTTGTTAGATATTTAGCAATTTTCCAGATCATTATGGTTTGAGTAGCCAACAACTATTCAGAGGAATAAGATTATTTAGTACAAACAATATTCTTCTGAAGTTTTGAATCCAAAAGACTTGGTAGGGACCATGCAGACTAGGTGTAAGGATCTGATAAGTGAAAATTGATTGCACAACTTCATGTTATTTTAGGATATCCATCTTGATTATTATAAGAATTGTCCTGTTGAGGAAGAGGTGAAGATGACAATGCTCAGGATGGGGAAAAAAACATTTTATAAAGGTGTTTGGGTTTTTTTTTTGCAGGGAGAGACATATTCATAATTTATGTTTAAATATGGAAACAGAATATGAAGGCCAATTTAAACTTTATTTCCATATGGGCTCTCATTAAACTGAAAAATTAAGAAGAAACACTTGCTTAAGAAAGGACAATAATTATTGTTCCTGTTAAGTTAGTAAAGTACATGCTTTGGGATCTTTAAATCAGAAGTACTATATGCATCTATGAGTACTTGAAAACTATTCCATATTAGCCATTTCTATTCTTCCTGGCTCAGCTTTATTATTTTATTTAAAGTAAAACCCTAAACACAAAACTCAATAAACCCCTATCCCAATTAGTGGGATTAAGATCTTCTCAACAGTGCTGATATAATTGTTAAAATGGTTCCTATGGAGTTGCAGTTTGGGCATGGCTAATTTCCCACTAGTAGGAATTCCTGCCTCATTACAGTTTTTAGTATGTCAATGACTATTGCCTTGTTGAGATCTAGTTGCTCTAATTTTATCAGCTCAATTACAATTCCTTTAAATCAGGGGTGTCAAACTCACAACATCATGTGATGTGACGCGACATATCGTGACTTTTTTGCTATTGCCGGCAATGGGGTGGGTGCGGTTTTACTATGATGCATCCGGCCTGCGGGCTGGCAGTTTGACACCCCTGCTTTAAATCAACAACAGCGGCAGTGGGCAGGTTCTCTTGTTGCTGTAGTAAACTCTGCATTGAACACAGAGTTAAATAAGATGACTTTTACTGTATAAATCACTCCTAAGTTGTTTAAATTAGTCAGCAGAAAGAATGAAAATCAGTGTAAATGTGATACAATGAACCACAAGCTGGTGTCTGAGTACAGCCCATGATATCAATATGAAAGAAATACATCACTGTCTGAAATCTTTCCTGCTTGAGCAGGGGGTTGGACTAGAAGACCTCCAAGGTCTCTTCCAACTCTATGATTCTATATTATTTTAGTATGTTTAGTATTCTAATTGTGCAACTAAGAAACCATGTATGATTCCACAATGCAACTTCTAAGATCAGTGGGAACAACAAGGCTTCATCATGGAATTGTGATGGTTCTCAAGCAATGACTCTCTAAAGTACTGCAGAAAATAACAGTGATAAAATATTTCTTGATCTCTGCTACATATGAATGCCCCAATAAGATCACAGCCAAGAAGAATGGTATACTGATCTTCAAAGATAACAAAGGTAATTACGATATTTTTAGTTTATCTCCAAGAATGAGTAGTTCTAAAGGTGTTCAATCTTTAAGTAAGCTTAAGTAAATTGTTAAGAATCTATATAGGAATCTATACGAATGTGATTTCACTGCTGAGAATGAATAAGAAAAGAATTAGTGAGGAAGAAAAAAAGGACTAAATTAATAAACAAATAGACAGCTGTACTTAAGAAAATAAGAATACAGCTTTCTGCTTCTGTTTGGAAGTTCAGTCCCATCTTCCTTTAGTAGACATTGAAAGAAAAGGGACATGAAATAGACATCACTCAATTTGAAATTTTATTCAACTGCACTTGTAGTTCCCATTAAGAAAAGAAATATTGGGAATGAGAAGTAACACACTTTTCTACTCACATCACTAACTGAAATATCAAAATCAAATCAAAATATTGTTTCAAATTTCCCAGTCCCTGGAAGTAAAGAAAAAGAGCACCTGGCTTCAATGTTTTCTTTAAGGAACAGAAATAAGGAAGGGTTAGTTCAGTTTGAACTGAAACCTTCCATTGTGTCTCCGAGGATATATGCCTGAATTATCCTTTGGCTAGTTGGTCCTTATTTAAATATATTTATTTAGGGGAGAAAAACACATTATAAGGAATATTTTAGGGAAGGGGACATTTTTATAATTTATGTTCACATGTGAAAACAGAATGTTTGTTTGTTTGTTTGTTTACTCAATTTTATAGCCACTTAACTCAACCAAGTGACTCTGGGAAACTTACCATTCTATGAAAAGCAATAGACTTTTGTATTTCCAGACATGTGCCCTCACTGGCTTGAAGTTAACACTTAAAATTGAAAAATTAAAAAGGAACAATGGCTTAAAAAGAAAAAAAAACATTAATAATAAGCATTGTTCATCTCTCTATAGTAAGTGATTTGAGATATTTAAATCAGAAGCATTTATGGACATGCATGAATACTTGAAGTTTATTCCAAATGAGTCATTTCTGCTCTTGAACATGTAGGATCTATTGATGTTGGGTAAAAGACTAAAGATCATAGGTCTCCTCAGCAAAGTTGAAATAATTATTGTACAGCTTCCTCCTGAAGTTTGTAGCTTGGGCATAGGTAATTTCCCATTGACAGAAATTCCTACCCTCATCACAGTTTTCAGCTTGTCATTGTCTACCTCCTTGCTAATATCTAGTTGCTCTAATTTTCTCTGATTGATCACAATTAGTTTGTATCAACAACTGTGGCAACTAAGTGTGTTGTGCAACTAAGAAAGCAAGTGGGATTTCATAACCACTCCTAAGAGAACTCCTAAGACCGGTGGGAATAACAATGCTTCATGGAATTGTGGTGGTCCTTAAGGAATGATTCTCTGAAGTACTGCAGAAAACAACAACAAAATATTTCCAGTTCTTTCTGTAAGATCACAGCCAAGAAGAATGGTTCACTGATCTTCCAGGAAAACAAAAGTAAATACAACTTTTTTAGTTTATCACCAAGGAGGACCACTGATTTTATCTCACTTTTAGTTTCTGAGAGTAACATTGAGTTGAATGAAATTATTTGCAGCTTATGTAACAAGTAAGTGTAAAAATACCTATATTTTAATTATGAATACTCTGTAAGTATTGTATTGTATTGTCTTCTTGAAATAAGAGAAAGCTACAATATGTTGGTGTTAATATTATATTTATATTGTTACATATTAAAATTGTGCTATATGATAGGGTGTGGACAACTGCTATTTCTATTGTCTTATATAGAGAATTATAATGGTGAAATAAAGGTCAAATACACTATTATTGTTAGTACTAGCATTGGCATTAAGTGCATTTCTTACTTCTTCTTATAAGGTAATACCTCAAAAACGTTAAAACTGTATTCATCTACCCCCTACTACCTACCTACCTAAAGGAAAAAAGAGATAGTAGAAAATAACTTCAGAAGTAAAAACAATTCATCCAAAGTTCAGAGTAAGCCCAAGTAAAGAGATAGGCCTTCAACGGGATTCCTTAAGATGTAGCAGTCTGGATCTAACATATTTCAGTGGAAAGAAGCTTCCAGACTGAGTAATTGCAAGATAGGTAGCTTACTGTACTCCTTAGATGATTTCCACAATTAATGCAATCTTTAAGAAATCTTCATCCCATATTGTTTGGACAATCATCTAACTTTAATTTACAATCCTAAAGAATCTAATGGGGGTTAAGCACTTCTGCCTCTCTCTGATGATTATGCCACTCTATTAAGATTGCTATGATGGAATTGTAGTAGAATCAGGATTTTATAATTCATTCAAATTGTCTTAAAATAGGAGTTATCAAATCATCCAACTCATTGACCCTTTCTTGAAGCTTCAGGTTGCTCATTGACCTCAAACATTTATTATATTAAAACAATTTAATCAACATTACTTTAATATTACCTATTGACACTTAGAGATCAATTATGAACAGTTTGGGGAACCCATAAACTACTGTATAAACATATTTAGATCATTTCTGCCAATATCTTATATGAAGGAGATGGTTAAAATTGGAAGTATAATTAAAATTGGAAGTGATTAATTAAAACTTTCCTTTCTAGCCACAGAGAAAAGTACTTACATGTACTTTAGAAAACAGTTCTGCCATCTCAGTAGTTAAAATAATTTCTACCATTTCCAGCAGATTGGATTGTGATTGGTAGAATCATTGTCAGAGTAATACTGTAGATACATCAGTTATATTTGTTTCCATGGATAGCTATAAGATTGAATGAGCCATGGTCCAAAAAGAACCATAATACATATTTCAACTTACAGTTAGGAATATAGGCAGGGAGAAGAATTATTTTTAATCTATGCAGTAGATAAATGAACAAAAGTTCATTAGAATTTGCTAGCTGTGGGATCCACACTATTGACATTCTAATCTTGCAATATTGTTATATGAGGAATTTATTAAAAAGTTAGGGAAAATATTATGAAATTTATATTCTTCACTAACTGACTAATCATTTAACTACTTTCCACAGATTCAAATACATGAAATGGCCAACCAATCTTCTGTGAGAGACTTTGTTCTGATGGGATTTTCTGATGACCCAGATTTGCAAATTTTGCATTCTGTGATGTTCCTTATTGTTTACATAACAGCTTTAACAGGGAATTGTCTCATTATAACAGCAGTGGCAGTTGACCACAACCTTCATAGTCCAATGTATTACTTTTTGGTCAACCTCTCCCTTTTAGATATTTGTTCCATCTCTACAACAGTTCCAAAATCCATAGCTATTTCATGGACAAACAACAAAGGGATTTCCTTTGCTGGATGTGTTACTCAGACCTTTTTAATGGTTATGTTTGTTGGTGGTGAACTTGCTTTGTTAACTATTATGGCTTATGACCGTTATGTAGCCATTTGCCATCCTCTGCAATATAGGCTGATAATGAATTTGAATGCCTGCATTCAAATGATAGCAATTTCCTTCATATGCAATCTGATCAATGGGATCTTACAAACCAGTATGACTTTTAGGTTAAACTTTTGTGTGTCCAACCTGATTGGCCAGTATTTCTGTGACATTCCTCAGTTACAAAAGATTTCTTGCACAGATACAAAAATCAACCAAATGTTGATACTTGTTCTTGGATTCTTTTTGGATTCCTTTATTTTTACATTCATCTTTGCTTCTTATACTCACATATTCTTGTCTGTGATGAAAATTGCATCTGTTCAAAGGAGGTATAAAGTTTTTTCTACATGTGTTCCCCACCTAACTGTTTTTTCTTTATTTATCATCACAGCTGTATTTTCCTATATGAGGCCCAAATCACTCTCTTCTCCTTCTGTGGATTTACTTTCTGCTGTTTTGTACACAACTTTGCCACCAGTTTTGAATCCTATTATTTATAGCTTCAGGAACAATGACCTACAAAAGGCTCTCAAGAAAATACTGAAAAAATTAAACAATTTACAAAATTGATTACAAAAATTGAATTCTTTTTAAAATGGTAATTATGGTGCAACTATGATGTGATTTAGAATTTGCACTTTTATTTCTTTTTATTCATTTCTTTGTATTCATAATGAATGAGATCCCTTGAAACAGACTACATTTGCTAACTAGTGTGTGTCTATTCCTACATCCTTGTTTACTTATATCAATGTCACAGAATGAATTAATAATCCCAATATTTAAAATGGAAGATTGCACAAATCCTCCTAACTTTCACCCAACAAGTCTCATTGACAATATACAATGTTTCTTTTAAAGAGACTGATTAATTTGGTGGATATTAGGCAGATGGTAACAGAAGAAAAAGCAGGCTTCCAAAAAGAACATAGTGGTACAGATCAGTGTTTCACTTTACAACATCTGATTCACAAATTATCTTCAGGGCTGTTTGGAGGAATTTGTAGAACACCTGAAAGACAATCAAATCAATTTGTGGACCAGGTCCATTAGAGTTGCCTAGATAATAGTTTTATCAAGTTAACCTTCAAGATGGTGACCACCATATGGGTTCAGGCAGTGAGAAATTCCTCACTGCATGAAGGGCTGTTTCCAGCATTTTTAAAGAAGGCCTTTGTGCAGCCACTCCTTCAAATAAAATTCTAAATTGTCCACCTATCTGGACAACTTTTGTCCAGTTCCCATCTTCTGTTTTTAGGGAAGGTGGTTGAAAAGGTTGTTGCATAGCAGCTTCAGAGGGTCCTGAATGAATCTGGACCCCTTTTGAGGCCTGATTGTGGGACAGAGACATTAGTTACATTTGTCAAAAATCTGTGGCATGAGAAGGATGGGGGTAATTGTTAGATCGCATAGGCAGTAAGACATGAGTCGAGTGACAGTCAGCTCTTGGTTTATTGGCAAGGCATAAAGTAAATCCGGACTGGCTCTCTGGGCCAGGGGAGCCCTCTTTTATGGGATTCCCCTGGCTTGTAATCACACAATTCCATTGGCTGGCAAGACCCTGTTGCTAGTTAGCCAACCAGCAACGGGCATGAAACTGTATGAAGATGGAGAAGGGCAATCACCCTTAATGGGCGATCAATGGTGAAGGGCAATCACCCTTAATGGGCGATCAATGGTGAAGGGCAATCACCCTTAATGGGTGATCAGGATATGCATAGGGGATTAAGGGGGGGGAATACAAAGAACACAATACCCCTCCCCTCAAAGTTCTTGCTATCGTCCTTGGTGAATAGTGGTTACATAGTCCTTCAGATATGTGGGAGGCCGATGCCCTCGCGCTGATCGGTGGGGAACCGTGTGACTCGGTTCCGCTCTTGCCTCGGTATTCTCCCCTCTGCGTGGTTGTCCTTGGGCCGCTGCAATGGGTCTCGCTTCTTGAGGTGGTTGACTGACGGGTGGAACCAATGGCCAATACTCGTCCCCGCCGTTGTCTCTGGCCCTGCCCGCGTGGTCGGCCGCACTTTCTTGGCGTAACCCAGCGACCCCGATTCGGCCCCTCAGTTGATCAAGGTGGTGCCGCCAAACCCGGTTTTCCTCCACGCGAACTTCGTAGGATCGGGGCCCGGCGATAGAGATGATGGTCGCTTTCACCCACTTCGGCTCCCCCGCGTGATTTAGGGCATACACTAAATCTCCCTCCGTAAAGCCCCGAGTTACCTTCCTGGATTCCGGTGGCATGTCCGTTTGGTAGCTGGGATGGAGGCGATCCAGGGGTGACCTCAGTCGGCGAC